TTACATATCTATTACAAGAAAAAATATTTGTGAAATTTTAAATAGCGTTAATCATATATGTTTGACCGGTTTCTACAACATTATATTTATAATAACACTATAGTATTATTGAATCATTTTTGTAATGAATTCGAGAAGCACGGTGGCATGGTGTTTTAGTCGTGCCATACCCAAGGTCCTAGCCTCTCCTCTTCTCCCGCGACACCACACCGCTGTCGCCACTCCGCTTAGCGATGATGACAATGCTTTGCATTGCTTAAGATCCGTTCCCTAAGCGAATCACGTATATTTTTATATTTTTTTGGAATTGTGTATTCATGATATTTTTTTTCCTCACGCGGATGTACTTTTAATATGATTTTACTGATGCTGAAGATTTTCTAATGGTCCTTTTTAATGTGGGTTAAGAGTTTTGTGTGAGTGTGGTGTATGTGCGTGTATGCGTCTTTCATGTAAATCAAAAATAAAATAAAATTTAGACGAATTTATACCATTTCATTTTTGTCTCAACAAATGTTTTCTTAGAATGTTTTAGAGGGAAATGTATGTAAGGGCTAGTTGGTTTGAAGCCGAAATTTGCCATACCAAAATATTGGTATTTTGAATAGTAATTTTGTCAATGTTTGGTTTACCACCAATACTTCCTAATACTACACATTACCAATAGTATTTTCAATATTTGGATTAAGTCTATTTTGCCTCCCTCATCTCTTGTCCTTGGTCGAATCGCATACCTCAACCACAAAACCGAGTATAATGCCTCCCCCATCTTCGAAAACCGGTGCAAATCAACTCCCTCGTTAGTTTTGGGAGCAGTTTCACTTGGTCCAAGTGTGCTAACGTGGCACCCGGTCATCAAAGAAACCGAAAATAGAAGCGGGTCCCACGTATAACCACAAGGGTAAACATAAAAAATAGTGGGGCCCACTTGTAAGCCCCAGTTCTCCTTCTCTGATTCCTCCTCCCTTCTCTCTCTCTCAAGCAAAGCTCACATGCACTCTGGCGCCGGCTGCTGGAGGGCCAGCGGCATGGCTAGGAGGGTTGGCAGAGGGGTTTAGGTGCGAGAGAGTGAGCAGTGCCGCATGCGCAGAGGCTGATTTGGAGGTAGGGACATTGGAGCTGTACCGCGCGGCAATCGCCGAGTTCGTGGTGACACTATTGTTCCAGTACGAGACGGTGACCATGGTTATCAGGCACAAACACCAAGACGCCGCCATCGTCAGTGAGGAATGTGGTGGCGTCAGCCTCTATGGTGTCACCTGGGCCTTCGGTGGCATCATCCAAGACCACCACTTGGCATCTACGGCAGCACTCGCTTCACACTTTGCGTCTCAGCCGCATGATGTAACCAAAACTCCTCGATTCCCCTATAAGAGACCGCACAACTCCACAAACCACAAGCCGCCTCCCGTCTAGGACCCCGTTGTCGGTGAAATGGGAACCCACGTACCCATTTATACGGCAAAAGGATCATTCTCAAATAAATAGCACTATATTTAAAAATAAAAGGTAACCCTAGGGTGTTGTAGCTAGGGGGCCCTTCCGGAGGGCTTTGGGCCCACCTAAGATTTTATATATGGGATTTTCTCTGGCTGAGGAGGGATACTGCGTATATGGTCCAAAACTCCGAGTATAGAAGTAGCTTTCGGCCTGGCTCGGGCCCCAAGCATACCCCAAATATGCCTTAAAAATATAGCCTATGGTCTGTCTCGGGCCCGGCCCTGTTCCATACCCCGGGCTCACCCTAGCCCTTGCAGATTCTACAATCCTCGGCAAGAGGGCGTAAAAACATGCAAGATCTATATCTTAAGAGGATGAGATAAGATCTGCCTCGGGCTCGGCCTAGCTCTGGGCCCTGAGCTCGCCTTAGCCCCTACAAGTCACACGTTGCTCAAGGAAGAAGGGTGACGAGGCTTGCCAAGCATAAAGGCGTGATCCAAGGTGTGCTTCGGGCCCGGCCTTGCCTCGGGCCCAGGGCTCACCTTGGACCTTGTATAGCTCGCGCCCCTCTACTCAGAGGGGCGACAGAAGGTACAAGACACACAATCTCAAGATATTCTTTCGTCAACGACGCCTTCGAGAAACTCATCAAGGAATAATAAACCTTCTTTAAGCGCAATAGGACGCGACCTCAGAAACTTCTGGGAAGTTGGGCGTGCTCCACAATTAGTTGTAAGGCAGCACGCCCCGCCATAAATGAAACAGGATTATAGGGGGATCCCTGGCCAGTCTAAGTTGAAAGGACGTGGACAAGACGCCAGCGTTGAGTCACTTTGGACGGTGGCGCCTGGGACACACGCCGCACATGCCCCGCACCACTTGATTTAGCCAAATGGGCAGAGAAGCAAATGTGGCACTGTTTCGGGCAGGTCGGGCCTCGTCGGGCCCACCACGCACCACGTGGTGAGCACACTGGCGGAGGCCCAACTGTCTCAAACGAAGCCTGGGAGCCCGGGGTAATATGAACCGTAAGACTTGATGGGTTTCTTGAGGGTTGCATAAGGGAACCAGCTGGCAACGACAAGACGGCTGATGAGACAAGACTAAGAGTAGATTTGTAATAATGTGAGCCCCTCCTTGGAATATAAAAGGAAGGGTAATAGATACAGATGAAGGGTTGCTTTCTGCTATGTCAGTTATTTCGCTTTGTAGCCTGAAAAGGCCTCTCTTGTATTTAGCTGATCTAGAGAAAACAAAAAACACCAACACAAGAGTAGGGTATTACACCTCTGGGTAGCCTAAACCTGTATAACCTCCTGCCTCCTTCTCGCGGGGCGGCCGAGCCCCGTGAAACCGCTGTGATCGTAGATACCTCGCACCGCTCGCCTACTAACCCCCTGGTCGACTCTTCACTCTCGGGGAGGGGTCTCCACTCCCCGCTGTCCAAGGGACCCCCCTCCCCCCTTGACACCCGTCATTGTGGCCACCCACCATGAAGCACTACAAGTGCCTCGACAAGATCGGGAGGAAGTCGAGGGTGTGGTGCATAGGGTGCAGGACCCGAGGACTAGGGAAACCCGCCGTGAAGTGCCTCCATAGAGGGATCAACTACGGTGAGGTGGAGTGCTTTCGCGAGCCACGGTGCCTCGAGGCGTGCCAGGGCCACCCGTACCTTGTTGAGCATCCCACGACACACAGAGAGATGAAGAGGGGTGGCGATGGCAGAGCTTGCCCGTGTTGCTATGTCGTGACGGAGTACATCAACAGGTCAAGCCTTGTGCGTGTCGTGCAGGAGGAGCGGTGCGACAACTGATGTGGCAGCTCCTCGACGGTGCCACAGCAATGCACATAGCAGGGATCATGCAACGGAACCTCAAGCCGGACAACATCGCCGTCAGCCCCCACGACGACCTCAAGATCAGCGACTTCGGCACGTAGCTCGTCACCAAGGCCGGAGCACCGCTATACACATCACCAAAGGTCACGCTATCGTACCGCGTGCTAGAGCTCATCCTGGGGTCACGGGAGTATGACTTCCTCGTTGATAGGTGGTTGCTCGGCAGCATCATGGCCAATATCCTCACCGGCGGCCCACTCTTCCTCATCCCCACGCTGCATCGCCATGTCCGCGCACAGCTTGTACATGTCGTTGGTGTCACCCCTGGCTTCCACCGACGACATGAAGAAGAGGAGCAACATGACCGCCGCAACCGATGCGTACGTGCACTGCTCCACTTTACCGAGCACCACCGCACTGGCCATAGATGCGGAGGGTGAGGCCACACCGCGGGGACGAGGGGTAGCAGCGGTGCCCTGCCAGATCGATACGTACGGGTAGCCTCCCCGTCCCTCTTGGGTAGTCGATGGAGCCGCCGGAAAGGGGGAGAGATGGGGAAATTGTTTTCATCCCTCGAGGGGAGGATATCCCCTTGTTTCATGCATGTCACCTAAATAGTTAAAAAAATATTTAAAAATTAGTAAGATAAATTAATATGAAATATATCACTCCACAGACATGCAATTTAAAATTCAACTACTACAGCATTAGATTGGAGTGATCAAAAGAGGAGGCATGAGTCAATCCAAGGTTGTAGACTGTATGAGCTTCCAAGTGGCCTCATGGGGAAGATACTTGTGTGCAATAGTGGTAAAATGAAGATAAAGCTCGGAGATGCACTGTTTGATGTAATTAGTGAAATATCTGCTGCGTATCCATTTATAGACTTTTGATTCTTCCCGACACATCTAACATAAATTAAATGTACAGGTTTCAGCTGGTATGAAGTGCGAATTTGTTCAAGAGGTTGTACCTATTAACACAAGGGAGAAGCACTTCTGCAGCCTTGGTAAGATCAAGAAGCATCTCATTGGAACAACTGATATCGACAACTTGCTAGATAAATGAAGATGGAATATCGTGTGGGAAATCGAAAAATATGTATAGCTTTACACCATGAGTTAGTCCCGAGTCTCAGTCCAGGTCACCAAGGGGTGGTTGCGTCTGCTGCAGCTGTGACTTTGGAGTTCTGAGTTTGCAATAGGAGAATGCTGGTTTAGTATAATGTAGAAAAGGCTAGTGTAGAGGTTTAGCCTAGTAGTTTATCAAAGTTCTGGTGAGTTCTCTCAAACACATATTGTTTTCACTTAGTGAAAAAAATTAACTGTTGGTTACAATTTATAACAACAAGCCGTCATTTTCTCTGTGAGCAACCTGTGTAAGAATCGTTGTGCTGACGCAGTAGTCATCTCATGTTGTTTTGCACATTTTGTTGAAGTACATGGAGGGTGAGGTTTTTAATGGTTTTGCTAGGGGAAATTGTCTGATTGTTCACAATCATATGGCACGCCACATGGAATTGGAAATTAGCACTATGCAACATTGCATCAGTGAGGTTTAACCCATAGAACTCATAAACTTTACAATACCTGATATCCAACTACTAAAATACACCAAACACAAAAAATGACGGCAACGCAGAACAAAATACGGAGAAATTTGTGCTATTGGTTTTAGTGGAAACATGTAACGAAGGAAATGCAGATGATGTTATTGTATACAAACTTGTTGTGGCCTCTTTCAACTTGTTGTGGCTATCGTAGAAACCAATGAGAATCACAAGTTAACAGATATTTAATATTATTGTGCCAACCCGCACATCCTGTGGAGACCAATTCCGCCTATACAAGCTAGTTAGGCAAACTTCAAGGAGTATAAAAGCATGTTTGGTTGCCATTTCATTTTCACAATTGTGTGCCAAAAGTTCAGTAGAATGTGGCTCCAAAGCTTCTATTTGACCTAAATAGTAATCGTCTTTCTCTCTAGTAAAATTAAAACATTAGAGAACATCTTCCTAAAATGTAATACCTCAACAAAAGAAAGAAAGAAAGAAATGCCCTCTTGTACAAGTCTAAAGGCCTGCAACCATCTATTTTTTTTGGGGATAAGCAAGCATGACATGAGTCAACTTTTTCATGCAATTATTTTGAAACGAGTGAAATTTGTAGGCCATCTATGATGCATGGAACTATATGTCAAGGAGCAACCTTCGTGGATCTTCAACCACATCCTTGATACGGCGCAAGAAGAGAACAGCTTCCCTACCATCGATCAGCCTATGGTCATACATTAGTGCAAGGTACATCATTGGCCTTGCAAGGACACTGCCATTCACAACCACAAGACGTTGAACAATGGAATGCATTCCGAGGATTGATGACTACATTAGATAAAGCTCGTGTTAGAGGGAACTTACAAACAAAATTACAAGGCAGCAAAAAAAAACAAGTGAGCACCTGTGGAGAATTAATGATAGGTGTACTGATAAGGCTTCCATAAACACCACCATTTGAGATGGTAAAGGTCCCTCCTGCCATATTGTTGATGGACTGTGCCCCCTCAGTTGCCTTCTTTGCAAGGTTGTTTATACCCTTCTCTATGTCAGCAAAATTCATTGCATCTATATCGTGGATAACAAGCACCACAAGACCCTAAAACAAATGACATGTCACATCATTACAACAGATTGCATAAAATAATAGTTAGGGCAGTCAACATAAAGAAAAACAGGTGGCGATACCTTGGAAGTTCCAACAGCAACACTGATGTCAATGTACTCCCTGTAGATGATGTCATCACCATCAATGACAGCATTAACAATTGGTTGGTTTTGAAGCGCAGAAACAGCAGCCTGCAAAAGCAAGTGGGTTTTTAGTACAACCCACACAATTGCCACAATTATGGTTTAAGTATCTCATAAGATTGCGTTTTTTTTTTCTCGAACACGCGAGAGAGATGTGTATCATTATATTAAGAAGAAGAAAAAAAGGGGTAAACATTACCTTCACAAAGCAAGACATTAAGCCCAATTTGACACCATGCTTCTCAACAAACTGATCTTTATAATCGGAAAGTAGCTTCATTAGGTTAGTCCTACATCACAGTACATATGATGTTGAAACAGATATAGAAAAGTGAAAGCAACAAGATGAATGTCACAAAGCAAATTTATCCTTGTATACACTGAAAGTTATAGTAAATAAAAAGGTGATGTAACATATGCAGGAAATAGCCATATAGATTCAAACTCCATTGATAATCCGTTTCTTCTAGCACATAAATATATGAGGTGCATTGATGCTAGTCCTCAACTAAACATAGTAGTCTGATGTTTCATTTACACAATAATCACGTTAACTTATTGGCATGAACAAGAACCAATACTATAGCTATTGGAGTATTATTGCGCGCTAGGATGAATAGCTTATTCCCGTTATCTTAAATTGGCCAAAAGCCAGCAGCTTATGCATTACATTAACCAAGCAGACGTACAAGAAATAAGCAATCCAACTAATGATGCACTTACATGTCAACTTCATTGAATGTAATTAGCATTGCAAAAGTGTTCTGAGAATCCTTCAAACGATTTGCGATACGCTTCCTAAGCCTTGGCATTGGCACCTGCATTTTGATGGTGACAAAATGTATGCAACCGCAAGAGTCAAGAATATGAAGTAACATAGTATATCTTATCATGATGTACTGTAACTAAGTGATGGATATGGCCTTACCCGTCTCTCTCTTTCCTTAGGAGGGAGTTGTGGTTCTGAAGAGGAAGTTAGTTTTGATTCGTGTGTTGTGCTGGACTCTACTTTTGGTGGTTTAGCCTCAACCTTGTTTTCCTTTGTAGAAGGTGGTTTTGTGCTATGCTTCTGGGAGGTATCTTCAGATGATTGTGTATGTGTCTTGCTTTGAGCAGCAGACTTAGATATGATAGCAACTTTGACACCTGGAGTAACAATGCCACCTTCACTCGCAACGAACTGTAATGCATTGATGTGGTTAGAAAAGTAATCTACTAAAGAATCATATTTAGCAAATATGGAAATAACAAATCAGGGGAAGGCTCTTTGTTACCTTTTCAATTATCCCAGCTTCTGGACTAGCAACATCCATCGTAACCTGAAATAAAAGGGTATTTCATTTTCTGAAAACAATTTTGCAAAAGATAGCAACAATAGCTTAGAAGTTGAAAACAAGAATAAACAGTGCACAGAATCACCTTATCAGTTTCGATCTGAGCTATGGGTTCATCAGCTTCAACTCTATCACCAGGTTCTGTATCAGATAGCATGTGAATACAAAGAAGTTTGACCACTCAAATTGCATATAGATAGATGCGTACTCTTTAAGAAGGTGGCAAGGGTTCCATCGGTTATGGATTCACCCATGAAGGGAACAACAGCATCAACCAAGTCACCTTAAAGGAAGAAAAAAATTGATTAAGCATTTAACTGGTAGAAATTTGTAAACATTATATCATCTATAGGGTTTCTGTACCTTACCATTCTTTGAAGCAAATGATCTAGTCCAAGGTTGATAAGGAGAAGCATTTGAAAGGAAATATCGTCCGCTACATATGAATTACATGCCACATTTTTGTTAAGAACTATGAATTTAGTAAAGTGTAGTGACAATTCCAAACCATAGAGAGCAAGGATGTGCCAAATAATCAACTTTTACAGCACAGGCACACAATGACAATGAAGTTTGCTCGCTCTGATCATTACCAAGTTGGCAGTGAGCATCCATGAACACCTAAAATAAAGGTTTGAACAAACTAAGAGGTTGTCAGGATTCCAAACTAACAAATGTTGAGTTTCTAACCTTCAAGTAGCTTAGTGCTGAAATGTCTGACATGTTTATAACTCCGTAAGAAGCATAATGTCTGCAAGTGAACCAGATCCGTTAGAAAGACAAACCAAGTATAAGCAAAAGTAAATGAAGGAACATAAACCGTATATGCTTGTGGGAACAAAAGGATAATGGGTAAACAAGTAACTTATATCTGCTACCCAGTAGTGCCGGCCTTAGCCCCTCACCTTATTTCAGCACAATGAATATCTCACTGCCAGGGGGTACTGGGTTTGCATGTTAAATTGTCAATTAGAGAATTCAATGGCAAAACCAAAATTTCCCCCATAAAATCTAATCTAACCTACTTAAAAAATTTGTAATTTTCTGTTTGTCACAATTATGATTTCATTCGTCAACAAAACGCCTTCCCAGCTTGTGTTTCGTATAGCACATGTTGAAGGCCCAAACAGGAGTCTACTTCGTTCCCCTGATGTCCACCTCCAATCCTTTTCCTCGTCTGTCATCCATCGAGCAAGCGCTGATGAGGTTGCCGCACGACACCACGATTTCTGAGTTAACTGAACCGCCCCCCACCCCCCCCCCCCAAAAAAAAGAAAGAAAATACATCTAACATCCAAATCCAAAGCCCCCAAGATTTATGAGTGCTACACGCTAGCTCAAGTGCTCAAAGGCCCAAAAATATAATCCTTATTTAGAAAAGGAAAAGGAACTCTCCTTACCGCAAAAACGAGAAAGGGAAAGACCACCTGGACCACATCTATTGTGCCGCGCGCTAGCATGCCATGAGTAATAGACGAAGGTGGGTGGAGGCACCACTGTGCAGCGCAGGGGGCGTGAGCAAAGCGCCAATGGAAAGCGCGTCAGCGAGCAGCAAGCGTGTTTGGTTGGTTGCCACACATTGGCACGCCACACTTTAGTTATGCCACAATATCTTAGGTATGTGTTTCTTTCGCTACCGCAATTATGCCATGCCACAATTTCTTAGCCTTGGGACCCACATGTCATACTCTCAAATTTTGAGCTAAGCATGCTACACTTATGGCCAACTATTTCTAAGCCACACTTGTGCCACCATGCCTTAACTAGCCTATACTTAGTTATAGCAAGGTTAGGCATCAACCAAACATCCGTGGATGCCTGCCCGGATGGGGATTAGATTAGGATTAGATTAGATTGGGTTGTTTCTCTCTCTACGTATGGGCTGGCTGGTTGGCTGATTTTTCAGTTCGAACCATTTAAGCCTATTATCTATTCTTACTTATAAAAGAGCCATCACTCCTACTACCAACTCTTAATTTTTCTTTTAAGGAAAAAAACATATGGGGCTAAAGGGCCGACATGTTAACTACTCCCACCATCACTCTACTTTTTTGGAAGAAAAAATATTAGTATGATAAAGAAAAGGTCAACATGTGATTAACAATAACAATTAAGATATGCTAATAATATTTTAATGATAATTTTAAATAATTAAAATCCCATTGCAATGTACAGGTAATATGCTAGTGAAAAATAATCAAGGTAGTATGCTATACTACTTACAAGTGGAAAACTCAGGTTTGAAGAACAATATTTGATGGGTTAATTGGATCCATGCCAATACAAATATGTCAAATTAAAAAAATATCACTACTATTCGCGATATCGGCTAGATGCCACTAGAATTTAGGAAAATTAGAACCGTGCCAATCCGTCGTATTTTCCATCCATTTTTCCGGTCATCCCCCGTTATTTCTATCGTTGCCGTCCTGTACTCCTGTGCCATCTCCGAGACCACGCAACCGTAACAAGGAGCAAACTGGAGGTGATGGCAGCGGCGGAGGAGCAGCCCGAGCAGGTGTCCAGGCGGGTGGCGGGCGCCGTGCCGGCGGAGGCGAGCCCACACGGTCGCGTCGGAGTCGAGCCCTGGCGGTGGTGGCCCAGCCGGTGAGGACGGCGGGGCCGGAGCAGATGTCGGGGACGCCGGCGACGAGGAGCTCAAGACCGGGACCAGGGACATGACCTGATGGCGAGGAAGATGGCCCAAGATCGGCGGCTGCTGTGCTGCTTGACGACGACGATGACGAACGGCCTGGCCGAAGAGATCGAGATCGATCTCTCCTAAGACAAGCACGATGACGACGAGGGAGCTCGGCGGCGGCGAAGGAGCTCGGCGGTGAGGGAACTTGGTGACGGTGGGGCTTCCGGCGCCTTGGCCGGAGGCGGCGGGCACTTCCTCGGCGGCATAGCTCGGCGACGGCGACGGGCGGCGCCGGCGCCTTCTCCTGCTCCTCGTCGTCGCCGGCACGGAGGCGTCCGCGTCTGCCGCCCTCCCCCCTCGCTTCCGCGCGCGCGTCCGACGACTCCGTTCCACCGCGAACCCCGCCAGGCCCAGCCACGACTGCCGCCGGCCTGTCCTCCGCCCGTGCCGGCCGTCGCGCCAGCTCCCCATCATCTTCTCCGTTTTGTCGCGTGCGCCTCATCGGCTTCGACTCCGGTGGTCGAGCTGCTCACGCGCGTCCGGGGGATGGTGCCTCCGGCGCTGGGCGAAGGGCTTCCTGGGCGGTGGATGATGCGCACGGTGGACGCCGGCGGCCGCCGCGGCGGGGCGCAGTAGAGGCGGCGACGATGCAGCTGCTTACGACGGCCAGCAACGGCAAGGGCGGCGCCGTCGTGTCGCCGCACCCCGAACACGTCCATCTACTGCTTCATCATCGTTCAAAAAATCTACTGCTTCATCCACCGTAGGCACCAGCACCAGCAGCAGCAGCTCGATGAGGCCGCGATCGAATCCATTGCCCTCACGCGGTACCGCGACGTACGGCGCCGGCATGCTCGGTGCCACCGACTGCCCCGTCTGCCTCGGCGAGTTCCGCGACGGCGAGCTCCTCCGCCTACTCCCCGAGTGCGGCCTCGCGTTCCACGTCCCCTGCATCGACGCCTAGCTCTGCGCCCACGTGAACTGCCGCTCCGTTGGCCGCGGCGGACGGCGCCGGAGGGCCGGGAGACAGCCAGCTGCTGCTCGATCTAACAGAAAATGTGACAGAGACGACGGGAATTGTAATGGAGTGGTATGGTTCTAATTTTAGAAGATTGCAGTGGTATCTATCCGATTTTATAAATAGTAGTGGTATTTTTTTCAATATGGCATATTTACGATGACATGGATCTAATTAGCTCATATTTGGTGATGCGGTGGTAGCTAGCGCGACTGAAACCAAATGACAAACTAATATGAAGATGTTCAACAGACACAGTGACACACACCAAGACTTGTTCCCATTGTCCCTGTTCATCGAGTAGGAAGATTAAACTCGCGTGAAGATTTACTAGAATCACATTCTAATTCACAAAATGTTTAAATTAATATGTAATGATCATGCAGTTGAGGCAATCATCAACAGGCAATCCATTTCTTATGCGGTGGCCGGAATAAATCTATATTCCTTAATTTATTTTAAAAAAATCAACAGGTAATCAATGATCAAGGGAGCCAGCATATCACCTCAACATGATTGCACACAAAAGTTCCTGTGCTTTTGCTATCGCTAACTGTCCGCGTGAAAAAATTCTGAATCGACTCCAGAAGCTACCATGCTCTCTCCAGTTTTTTTTTCTACAGCATGGCAACGACACAATCAGACCAAACCGCATGATCGAGCAAACAAAAAATAAAATTTGCAATCTCCTCGAATTTCACAGTTTAAGCATCCTCTACCGTCCTGATCAACAACAACCAACTAGAAAAAATCGCATTCTTACCATCCTAATAACACAGAAGAAAAATGAACGGAGAGGCGATGGAAAGAGCACCAAACCACCATCGGGACAACAAATTAAATCCAGCCCCAAAATCAACCCCAACAACGAGACTCATAACGAGTCAGGCCCCATCGCATTAAATCCCCCATATACATTTTACGCGTCATGCGTAAGAAGAGGGGGGAGGGATGCCGGATTACCGTCGCAGGGCGGCGGAGGAGGTGGCGGGCGGCGATACGGGACGCCATTCACCGGAGGTGAAGGAGGGGAGAGGGGACATCGTCACGTACTCGCATGTGGTGTGTTGATCTGCTCAAACAAGGTGGAGGTGGTGGCTTTTTGCGAATTTTATTGCTTTTGTCTTTTCTTTTTCTTTTCTCCCTTTTTGTGATTGTTTCCTTCCTTCTTTTCTTTCTTACCATTTAGCCTCTCACCCTTGACAAGACTACATATCAAGCATTTGTTTTTTATTAAAAAAAAACAGGCGCCGTCAGTAAGCATGTATGTAACTATTTCTCTCCGGGAACCTTCACAGGCATGGAACTATTTATCTCTTCCACGTGTCATGTACATGGAACATCCTCGCACCCCTTTCTCTCTCCTCATATTCCCTTAATAGCAAATTTTAAATCATTTTTTTCACAAAATACTTATTTGATGTGTGATCCAATTGCACCGTTGGATTTGTTGCAATTAAATCTTAACAAAGAGATCTCACATTATTAGGATGAACAAAAATAACATAATTATATTACTAATTGAAATATTTTTATATTATATATGAAACATTAAGTTGTAGTTGTTGAAACATTACAGAATACATGCTGAAACATCGAGAACAACACGTGCAACGTTATAAATGATTTAGTGAAACATCCAAATAACACCACTTGCAACATTTTAATAACTTAATGAAACATCATAAAATATCTGTTGAAATATACAAAGAACACCACATGCAATATTCTAATTTTTTTATAGAGCTAGTGAAATACCTTCTGAAACATCACAAAATACTTTCTGGAACACCCAAAGAACACCACATGCAACATTACAAATGATGTAGTGAAACATCGTAATATACTTACTGCAACATTTAAAAAATCTACTGCAACAAAAAATTGGAAAACAAATATTTTTATCGAAATATAATCATATGAGATCTTGTTATAAATATTCAATTGCAACAAATACAATGGTATGATCGGATCGTATATTGAATAAATAGTTTAGGAGAAAAAAGTGCTAAAAGCTTTGTTAAAGTTGGACATGAATATTAGTAATAGTGTTGATGTGACGTTTTGGATGTAAAAAGAGACGGATAAAAATGGACCGACTATCAAACGCCCGAGCAGATGAGTTTTTTTCGGGTGCTCTTAAGAAAGGAAGCCAATAGGCAATGCTTTTGGCACGTTGTGTCCCGCGTCGAGGACGATGCTGATAAACCTCTTTGTTAGAATGAGATCTTCTGTTCTGCAGTACCGTGGCTCATATGATTGCGACTACGGCTCACATCATTTGGCCATAATTAAGCTAATAATATATCGTATGGCTTATTAAAAAAATAATTTATGAGTAATTTTTTATATAGATGGTTTTAGTGATATAAATGTCAAATTTAGCAGCGATTTAAAAAAAACTTCGATGAAAATTTTCAAAATTTAAATTTTAGCGACAAATGATTTATATAGAGCAAAAGGTGGAGGCCTTCTACGGCAGCAGCAGTACTGTATATGAGCTAAGTCCCTCTCCGTTCACGTTTCAAGCATAATCATATGATTTGACTTTGTTGTTTACTTGAGAAAAGTGTAATTATTTAATTTAACTATCACTTATACTATAGCCTTACCATAGTGTCCCTATATGCATATTTGACAGGTGGGGCTAAGTAGAAACAATGAGAGTATTGGAAGTATATATGTGTGACAGGTGGATCCAAATTTCTGAGGGAGACAAAGTTACAATTTTATTATAATCAGGAGCGGAGCTAGTATATGTTAGGGGGTGCCCAGGAACTCGGTCAAGAAAATTTTTTAGCTATACCTCATCTATTTTCACCATGTATGCACCCCCTCAATACAAACTTAGACACCCGTATCAGCTTAAACTTGATCTAAAGTAAAGTAAATTAAACAAGTGGCACTACGCTCTGTTTCGCTCTAGCTCCGCCCCTGATTATAATATCGTGTATTATTGTTGCAGCTTTGTAAATGACGAGCTAGACTTGTAGAAAAATAATAGCTTTGACAAAACTAGTTATAATTTTCTAAAATTTAATCTTCTTGATGTGTAAAAGGCTATATATTAGCCGATAATTATTATAGAGCATTTAAAAAAACAAGTTATAACACTAGAATCTCTTCACCAATCACCATGCAACAAATAAACACTAATAGCACTAAATTATTATGGGCACGCTTCTCAATCTTCTAAATTTTACGCTTTTTACTATAACTAGGAGGGTAGCCCACGCATATGCACAGGAACCTTGTTTAATTTTTACTACAAATGATTATGTTGATAATATTTTCGAAATATTCTTTGACTCTATGTTAAACATGTTTTTGTAAATAATTGGTTTGGGCATATTACTTAAAACACAAAAATTGTCACGATAGTAGAGTTTGTTCGTATCTATTTGTACTACGTCTCATTCTTTCCTATGCAATATTTACCATACCTTATTTTTGGATTTTCTAAATTTTAAGTAATATTTTTTCCTGTATGCTATAGATAATTTTTATGATATATTAATGAAAGATAGTTTCTGTTAAAAATATAGCTAATATGACTATTTTATCTAATTAAATATAGACTTATATTACTTATACACCCTCGGTGACATAAAGAGTCAAATTTTGTCCCAAACCAATGAGAATTTATATGAAACCTAGACAAAGTGATTTTTTTAAAAGAAAAAAAAACTACCACGATAATCTCCATAGCACCATATTATTGCTTATATTTTGTTTTCAACACCTACCATTCATAATCACGTGAGACACCTTTAGTAGAGAATGCTGTTAATTTACTAAACTTATTTACAGTAACTAATCTGTGGAGTATACTTATAGTCACATCACTAGGTGTATGACATACATCTAGGGATGAAAACTTTTTGGATTCCTAACCTATGTTCGGAAACACAAACTGTCGGTCGAAATTTTTTCGGAAACGAAAACAAATATGATAAAGGCAGTTTCCGTCGGAACTCAGAATAGGTTTGCAAACAATTTCTCAGAATTTTCGAAGTTACAAAGGCCCATACCATAGTCCATATACCATAATAATACTCCAGTCAAATTCAAGTTAGCATCCTAATTGATTGTGTTTTGTGATATACTGTTGACCGTTGAGACCTGAGACAGTAATTGGACTTGACAAAGTTCGAAGCTAAGTTTGAGGGGTTTTTTCTTCCCATAAATTTTCGTTGCCGTATTCGCGCCAGTTCGTATTTAGGGATGAAAATGGTTTGGAAAGTTTCCCAATTCCGGACATGTTTTCAGGAATGAAAAATGTCGGTCAGAATTTTTTCGGAAACTTTCGGAAACGGAAACAAATATAATAAGGCTACTATCCATCGGAAACTTTCCGGAAATGAATTCAGTTAACATAGTATTTCTCATATACAACTAATTAGCTTCAGCCTTCTCTACTCTAAATGGTTAGATTTATACTATGTATTGAGGTGCTTAATTAAATAGAGATATTTTGTAGTCAAGAACTTTAGATTTTTTTTTTGCGTAATTGCTATTTTTATTAGACCATACTACTTATAATTATAGTTATAGATGGATATAGTTTTTTTTTCTCCAAGAAAGTAAAGTGTAAAACTAGTTGTGTTATTATTAATTGATAAAATGTAGAATAATAGCTTTATTTTTTTAGAAAAAAAATATTGAGCTACATCTCTTAGTTGATTTGAGAAGTTCAGTTTTAAGTGCTTTCTATATTTTGATAAATATCCGTTATTGTATTCGCTCCATTTTCGTATTCGATAATATTTGATTTCGTTTTTGTATCATGGGTTCCCGATTCCGAAAAAAATATAGAAACGGAAACGATAAAGGTGGTTTCTGTCCGTTTCCGAACCATTTTCATCCCTATTCCTATTCTCTTTGTTTTCAGTTCCGGTTCCAATTCTAAAATAAAATGAAAATGGAAACGATAGAGGTTTTTGTCTGCTTCCGTAGCGTTGTACATTCGTCAAGTAATATTTGACACCCAAAAATACGATGTGAAATTATTTAAAATATTATCATAATATTAATTATTATATGTCGGCATCATGTGTTGTGACGTATTTAGAACCATAGACATCAATAGTTTATTTAATAATAATTTATTTAATTAAAGGAATACAAGGGGATTAGAAATTGAATATATAATTTTGAAATAATTTAAAAGATACAGTATTTCAAGAGTGTTTTGGATATTTTATATTTGTTATATAGATGTAGTTTAACGGCGTGAATTTGTAGAGTAATATATTTTATCTTTTGAGGATAATGGATAAGTGAATTTATGAGAATTCGCTTGGAGAACTATATGCCGTTTTTTTTTAACTTTTTCATTTTCTGTCTGCCTCCTGAACAGGTTTATTTGTCAGTGGACCGAACTGCTTAAACATGTCGTGTGTTGTATGCCCAGCCATTGACACTGACAGTGATCAATCTGATGTTGCCAATCTGCCTTGAAGAGCACGTGCATATGCACAGATGGGCTGGACAGCAGATGGCGGCCCGGCCCAGCTATCTTCCTTCCGATTTTCAGTTTTTCAGGACAGACAGTTCTGCGGCGTGGGGCCTCATCACTTCATCAGTAATAATCGTAGCACCGAAAATCAGAACTTGATGAGCATTGCAACTTTGAAGCTATGCAGGAAAAGTAAGTGTAATGTAATCCTACACGTCCCTGCAAGATTTGCACATGTTTACCAGGTGATCCCCAACGGAAAAACAGATGGAATATGTGATCATTTAAATTGCTGCCACAAATCCATTTGAATCCTCGCAACAATTTATCTTGGCAAAGCTCAACATTTTACAGCTGCCCTTGCCAAATTCCGCATTGCAATTCAACTCCACCCAAATAGGTCGTCGTTACAGTCTTACAGATACAACAGTAACAACAACTGTTTCAACTCCTTGCTACAGGATGCATCATCCATGATCCATCATGAATCCAAACGTCCCCAGGGCAAATTAAAAAACAGGACCAGGGCTTAGCTCTAGTACATCAACCTATTTAAAAGTTTTGTAAACTTGTAACCCTCCACAAGGGGTCTCTCCTCTTCTTCCTGTATACAGATCAGTCACTAAAGTCTGCAGACCAGCAAGGCAACTGGATCGATTATTGCACAAGCTCAGGGATGAGCCTCAGCAAGAATGAGATTTCACACTGCGAGAAATGTGGCGTTGCGGCGTCTTTTGCTGCCCCATTGCTCAAATTATCGGCGTTCAGGTCAGGCTCCGGGACGGTGATGAGCTCAGAGACGGCCTCGGTGATCTCCTGCACTAGGTCGACGATCACACCGTTCACCCCCATCAGATGTTGCATGTACACCGCCTCCGGTACGTTGCTGCACAAAAGGGATGGGAGATTTTGAGCACTTGAAATTCAGATATAATGCAAGAAAGTGCTCGAGGTAACCGTAAACTGTACTGCTTACTTCAGTGTTCCATAAGTCAGTAGGGAGAGGTTAGCCTCTTTGATCTTTGGTACAGCAGCGGGGTGCCTGAAAATTCCTCGTGCCTCCGACACGATTCCTTGCATGCCGCTGGCGAGGCATAGCTTGATGGCCTCTTCCAATGAGTTCCTCCTAACGTCAGCGTAGATTTCTGTGCCTCCATTAGTCAAAAAGTAAACCTGATTGAAGAAGATGCAAGGGATGAGGAGATCAGTAACTGTTCATGGTACGAAAAGTACTGTTATGGAACTTGCAAATTTGCAATGCATCAGATACTAGTGTACTTACAGGGTATGTGCTTTGCAATTTTCGCATAACCTGTGCAGCGTCAGGCTGGAAGCTAGAGAAAATAATAGGCCGATCCTTGGCATACTCAAAAACAACCTGATCAGGTAGTACAGATAAAAGGTGAGATGTTGTTAGATTGGCCATAGGTATCAATCTGCAAATTTTCTGAATAGCCATAACACTATGCTAACACATACCTTCAGGATGGCCTGGAGGATACAAGTGAGCTCTTCCTCCTGGTATTCAAGATTGTCATCAAATTTGAGCTCAATATTGAAGCCCAATCTAGGATTGACCTTCTCGAAAGCTTCTTGAAGTGTGCAAAGAGGGTCATCTGACTGCACATTCCAATTCACTATCCGACCATCTTTCAGTTTCCGTAGCAAGGGTTTTCCACCCTGAATTCAGAACCAACCAATATGTGATCAGATCAATTCTAGTTATCCTCCAAAGTTAAAATCAATTCTAGTTATCCCCAAAAGTTCAAATGAGAAAAATAGTTTCTAGCATACCTTTCCCTGCTCATTTTGTGGGCCATATAGCAGGAAGTCTTCCAACTGAAGGTCTGTGACACGCTTATCTAAAATTTTACCCTGAAAATGGATGCCATTATGGATACAGGTTAGTTTTTTCTTTACCATATATCACATGATTCACGAAATGGTCCATGCCTATATGACAGTCTCAATGATGTTACTTTTTTGTCTGAATTTTTAAGGTAGCTACTGTAATTCATACAGTAAAAGAAAAGTAACTTACATCTTCTTTAGTAAAGATGAAGTTATCATGGAAGATGACTGGGCACCCATCCTTGGTAACCTGCAAAATTGATATTCACGGTTTGTTCTCTTCTCAACATCTTTGCACACCGAATTATTGAAGAGACAAAGAGAGAAGGACAAGAACAAAAAGTAAACAAATCAGTATCTTCTTTCAGCATTTTAAGTTTCATATGTAATTAAGCAAACTGAGTGTGGAAACATTTATCGAGAATGTGTCACCATAAGTGTAGTTTAGATATGACCCATTCTACCCTATCTCTTGTTTCTGTCAAGAATCAAAATCAGTAGAGCAAGCTGATAAGCCATTGCTCCAAGCCAAAAACAGGCCCAGTGACACAATGATTCCTCCTGAAGTGTCGCCACTATGAATTGCTCCATGTTTGCGTTACAGCACAAGATACTTTATAGATTCTTTTAGTGCGTAGGTGGGGTGTATGAGCAAACGACAAAGGCCCACTGTGTTGATTCGGAGCTGAGCTGACACTGGAGTAAACTGGACCATATCCCATATCCCATATCCATTGCCACCTACCTCGTGAGCGAACCTAACTCGTTTCGTATTTTACTAAAAGAGCTGGGAGATAATTTGTTCCATACACCATTTCTTTGTGTCGGCCTAGCTACTTCATTTGTTTACGTGACATTTTAATTTTCATTTAAAGTAATGCTAGTATCAAAATGTTTTTGGACAAACCAAGTGTCTTCCTGTTCCTCTTTGATAATCCTAAACATATTGGGGTTGCAAACATCAAAGTTTCCGGGCATCTGACAACACAATTTCTGAAAGGAGTAAAAATGGCCATCACCAAAGTGACTAGTATAAAATGGAGTACTCGACGAAGAATCTTGATATAGCTGAAAAAGGATGTATTTCTGTCTCTGTGAGTATTAAAAAATTAATCCGGTGTGGTTAAATGTCTTAAATCATCTCCAAATTTCATACTACTCCCTCCCCCCCCCCCCCCCCCCCCCGCGCCCCAAGATCACAAATTCACAATTGGAAGCTGGCTATTCGAACAACAACCCCCCTTTATTTAGGTTTATTATAAAACAGCACCAGTGTGACGAGGAGAATCGGAACGGGAAATTCCAATTAATCGTGCCGGTGAGATTTTCGATTCGCGTTTCAGTTTCTCCAAGAAGGGCAATTATTATGTCGATCGATTCGTATTTCCCAAGAAGGCGAGCGAGAACGGGCGGGCGCGTGGGGCTTACGTGTGACACCGCGAATCGGAACAGCAGCTCACCGCGACGCGTCGCCACACCGTTGGCTCTTCTGTTTCGCCCGCGGGCGGCGGCGAGCGCTCGCTACGCTACGCGGCGCCCCCACTCCTCTGCCCTCCATGGCGCTGACGCGTCGCCATCGAGGAGAGGAAGCCGGCGACCCGTCCCATCACCCAGGTGAACGTGAACCCATCTCCCCATCTGCCTCTCTTCCTTTCCTTTTCCTTGATTGGTCTCGCTTTTTCGTCTCGAACGCCCACGGGGACCCCCAAATTTAGCACGAGCAGCTCAACCCCACCCAGGTTACCGCTATGACGGATGGATGGACATGGATGGACGGATGATGAAGAATTTTTTTTCGTTACCTGGACGTCGAACTCGACGTAGTCGACGGGGAATCGGGCGGCCTCGTTGAACGACCTGAGCGAGTTCTCCTTCACCTCCTGCATCCGCCGGTCGGGCGACGCCAGCGCGTTCATCCCCTTCCCGCGGTGCCCGATCACCGCGAACCTCTGCCCCCCGCCGCCGCCGCCGCCGCCCGCCGCGGCGCTCCGAGCACCCGCCGCGTCCACCTCTGCTGCATAACCAAGGAAATAACTAACGCCGCCGCGGCACGGTGTCTCGACGCCACGCAATGAATATTGAATAATCCGTACGTACCGAGGATGGCGGAGGTGGCGGGGGCGCCGGCGGCGAGGACGTCGAGCGCCATGGGGACGTCGGCGACGCGCGCGGCCTTGAGCTGGGCCATTATATTCGGAGGATGTCCTAGCTGCGCGCGTATAGGAGGATCGTGGGCGCAATGCAATGCAACAACGAGACGTGACGCGACGCGACGCGACGCGAGGAAGCGGGAGCCGAGCCTAATTTATAACAAGGCGGGGGAAGGGGAAAGGGATCGAGTGTTGGGTGTGGGTCGTTGGAGAAAGGAAGGAAGCGGGAATGGGGAATATTCGGGGTGGGGATGCGTTCGCCATGGCCAGCCATCGCGCGCATTTGCCAATTTGCTGCCACCGTCCCCGCGGATCGGATGGTTTATCCTCCAGGATATTCCGGTCCAAAGGCACGCACCCGACGCAGACAGACGCTTCCCTCTGCTGCTACAACTACGAGAACGAACCAACGAACGAACACATCAGGACAGCGCTGTTTCCGTTTTTTCACCTGTCCTTTCTGCCACGATTTTTCCCCTTTTCCTTTTTTACCCTCCGTGCCTCGTTTTTTCTCTTTGACCGAGGCTGTGTTCTGTGTTCATACAGATGTTAGGTGAAAATTTTTGACGTGTCACATCAGATATATGAACATATATTTGAAGTATTAAATATAGACTAATAATAAAATAAATTATAGATTCCGTCTGTAAACTGCGAGATAAATTTATTAAGTCTAATTAATCCATCATTAGCAAATGTTTACTGTAGCACCACATTGTCAAATCATGGAGCAATTAGGCTTAAAAAATCCGTCTCGCAATTTACACACAATCTATGTAATTATGTCTTTTTTATATTGAATACTCTATGCATGTGTCTAAACATTCAATGTCACATAGTGAAAAGTTTTTACGTGAAAACTAACAGAGCCCGAGTCGACGTTGTGCGTTCGCGTACGTGCAATCGTTCAAAGCCGCCATCGTGGCAATACAACTTGACAAGTGGTGTCGTCCAGATGGTTTGGAACAGCTGGTGGGTAGTACTAGCTTTTACCACGGCTTCGCCCGCCCAATCTGCAGCGAACTCCTGCAGCATCCGCCCGCGCAACGCGTGCGTGCGTCTGTGCCGTTGCTTGCGCGCGCTCGTCGATCGCCGCTCGCTGCCTAGCTAGCCGTTGGTCGAGTGTGTCAAGTGATATCATTCGTATCAGCCACATCATGCGGATGCATCGATCGTTCTGGTGGTTCCGCTTTTCGTCGTCACTTCGTATGCGATTCTGTTTGTCCAATAAAGAAGAAATCGTGATTCTGTTCCACGACGGGTTAAAGGATAAGACGATTGGTTTATTCCTGCTATACGTGATGGACACGACAGATTCATCACGAGAGCACAAAGGAGCACCTTCTTTTCTCGGTTTTATTTAGGCTGAACCCTGAGAATATGTGCAGAGGAGATTGCAAGTTTCAGTTTATATATATATATATATATATATATATATATATATATATATATATATATATAAAGGGGAAGGGTTAATTAAGGGAGAAGGAATTAAAGCTTGCAAGTTGCTACTAGAGTAGATATTTTCTTCTTTCGTGTGTAGCTGAATTCGGTATTTCAGTGCCGTTTTAATTTGTTTATTGTCCATGTGGTAGCAGGAGTGATCCTCCTTTAGTTTAGTGATTATGTCCAATTGTCCATTGTTGGTAGTTGCATCCGATTCTTTATATAAAAAAACTGCATTATACTGAGGGGTCAATGCTGCTGTCAGATCAACACGCGCGAGAACGCAATATCTCTTGGAAATAGAATCACGAGTTCATTTCATATAAAAGACGTGAATTAATAGCAGCTTATTCCTCAAAACAGCCATAGCACGTACAAACAGCACTATTTATTTTGAAAAAAAAAAAGGAGAAAAAGGACTAGCTGGCTGAGAATGGCTTGGGCTAACACTCGACTAAGTACAGCCGGGTTAATTAATTTGATTAATTAACGAGGAAAATTCTTTAGGCCAGTCACAATGGCTAGTGTCATTGCACGGCTACCCAAAATATTATACCATCTTCTCTCAAATGAAATCTTTTATGAAACAATCCCCACAGTGGAGGGGTTTCACTTTGACGTTTCCAAGACTAAGCAAAGCATTTAATTGATACAAGTTGCTGGGATCATTTGTACCCAAAATCCGGCGCGGCGCGGGAGAATGCAGAGGTCGCACGGCGGAGGCGGACGCAAGAGATCCGGTGAATGAAACGAATCGGCCTCAACGGGGGTTTCACTCTGTTACCGAGGACTTGGAAACGACGCTGACGAGTTTCACCAGGATGAAACTCTTTCCTTCTCTCTCATCCCCATTTCATGCAAATAATCATTTTTTATTCAGTCTTACCCCTATTAAATGTGCATGACACACCAGTGAAACCCCCATTGTGACTGGCCTTAGAAGACAAGAACTGCTGATGACATGGTTGATTTGGTTCGACACACTAATTGATCAACACTTGCAACTCCCCTTCATTTCATGACTAATCCTGTATATCCAGCATAGCAACAACAACCTTCCTTTTTTTCTGAAACCACGTACGGCAGGACGGAGAGAGAGACAGAGATCGACTGATAAAGATTACAGAAAAGGCAGTTTACAGTAATAATTTTACACGTCAACTTAACAATAAATCATCGTCAAGTAGTCCAATAATGGGAGACGCGTCACGCATAAATTCAGGCAACTAGGCCACAAATCTCCTGTTACTAGTACTTGTTTAATCCATTATTGCGCACACGGCCGGTTGGTTAACTCGCATGACTAAGTGGAATCACATGCATCAGCGCATTGTCCATTGCCCCTGATCGATATACTGATCTGAATATCTGATGCCCTTGCTTGTTTGGTTGGATCTGATAGTAGTAGAAGATGAAATGCAGGTGATTGCAAATTAGGACGACGGCTCATGCTGAGGTGCTCGTCTTATCCTGCATTTGTTTAGCGACTTGGTCGATCTCTTAACTTTGACTCTCTTTTTTTTTTTAGAACTCTTAACTCTGACTCACCACCAGCACAGCAGATTGATCCAACAAGGGGGTGTTTCGCCAAGACGCCAAGCTAGCAAGGTATAGGTAGCTTCCTGGGCTCCTGTCCTGTGGTGTGCCAGTGCCAGGTCGATGCGCGCTCGTGTCTGTCGCCTCCTGGCGTCGCATTGACTTTGGATAAATGGATTATGGATGGATGCCATCGCAAAAAGCAAGGACACTAGTAAAAGGATGGCCTTTTCTTTAGGGAGAGGAGAGAAGGTAAGAGATGGCTTTTGATTCTGACTGTTCGGTGGTGAGTTGGTCGATATCGATCTAGACATTTGGTGCGTGTTTTTTCACATCTACGGTGTCGATGCATAGCTGGTAACTAGTTAGATGGCGCCAAATAATCTACCCATTTCGTCATTTCGCTAAATTAATCATGTCTAATGTTCACCATTATTGCTTATCCACGCTACAAATGCAATGATAGGGCTGTTTTTTTTTAAGAACATGATAGGGCTGTTGAGCCTGTCTTAATCTTCCAGTTGGCACGACGAAAATGCTGAGGAAAACCTTACCACGAGAGGAGATATGTGAATTTGTAAGCCATTTGCTCAATCTGTTGATAGATCTAGAAGACACAGGGGAGGATCACGTGACGTGGCGGATGTACGAGGAAGAATATTCTCTGGTGGTTGGACAGGCAGGAGTGCTGGTTTTGCCAAGAGCTTTGATGCTGATGGAGTGATGAGATGGATATACCGATAGAGTGGTTGCTGCGTCGGTTCCACGTCACTTCAATTCGTCTGCATCACGGCCTCAAATACCTGCCACCGAGCGACCTTCTCTACTCGCCAGTAGTTCTTTTTGTTTCTTCCTCTCATGTTTTCCTCAAGCACTCACAAGTTACAACCTGCGTATGGAAGTGTTTAGTTCCCTTCAAACATCCAAAAATTTCATCATATCAAATATTTAGACATATGCATGAAGTATTAAATGTGGATGAAAAAAAACCAATTACACAGTTTGCATATAAATTGCGAAACGAATCTTTTGAGCCTAATTACGCCATGATTTGATAATGTGGTGCTACAGGCCGTGTTTAGTTCTTTGGCTAATTTTTTTTAAGTATACGGATACACATTTGAAGTATTAAACATAGACTAATAACAAAACAAATTACAGATTCCGCCTGTAAACTGCGAGACGAATTTATTAAGCCTAATTAATCCATCATTAGAATATGTTTATTGTAGCATCACATTGTCAAATCATAGCGCAACTATGCTCAAAAGATTCGTCTCACAATTTACATGCAAATTGTGTAATTGTTTTTTTCGTTCACATTTAATGCTTTATGCATGTGTCCAAACATTTGATGTGATATTTTTTGACAAATTTTTTTAGGATCTAAATACACATACAGTAAACATTTACTAATGACGGATTAATTAGGCGTAATAAATTTGTCTCGCAGTTTACATGCAAAATCTATAATTTATTTTATTATTAGTATATGTTTAATACTTTAAATATGTGTCCGCATACTTAAAATAAAATTTAGCATATGAAACTAAACAAGGCCCATATCAAAAAAAAAGTTACAACCTGCCATTGTTTGTACATGCGCGAGCGCGACGGTTTAGATAGAGAGCGAGCGTGAAATAATTGTGTAATATACTACCTCCGTTCTAGAATAATTACATTTTTACCATTCAAATTTTATTAAAAAAAATACTCCATCCGTCCTATAATATAAGGGATTTTAGGTCAATATGTCACAATCCCTTATATTATGGGATGGAGGGAGTATTTCTACCAAAGTGGGATCCAATTTTCCTTTAATCAAGTTTAATAATAGTAATTAGCTGAGTTTATTGTCTCAATATTACTTTTAGTCAAGTGTACGTACGAAATGTGTGTATGCAGTGTCGTTAGTAAATAGGGTTACTGTGTTTGTTGCTAATCTGTCTCTATTATCAGCGGATACTCCTCTCTATTCTTTCCTTTCATCGTAAAAATAAAAAAAACACAAAGTTAATAAAAAAAATAATACTCTCATTCATGTGCATAGAGTTTATACCGTAAACTTTACACGCATAAACTTTATACGCATAAACTTTATCTATAGAAATATTTTATATATAAAATATTTGAATCCGGATTTGAATTTAAATCGTGTATGTAAGCTTTTGACTTATAAACATTCGCTCTACAA